ATTGATGGTTTTTTGGAAAATCCATCAAATACCAATATACTATGTCGGATCTCGAATCTGATAAATGACTTACAGTCATGAGTATGAGATGTAATCCATGTATGAAAATCAAGTGTGGGCTTGATTAAAATTCTATCCCTATAGCAAGGATAGAAGGAGTAAATAATTCTTCTAGAAAGAATAAATTACATGGATAACCATACACATTTGAAGCAAGACTTGCTATAAAAGTATTTTCTCATACTCATGTCATTGACTATGGTCCTCATCATACTCATGACATTGAATGTGATCAAACCTTTTTCACAAGTAGCTATGACTAGATCAATAAGGATACTGTTTACTATAAATTCATATTCTTAATATGAGATATAGTAAATAGATTTCAAGAAAGACTGTTTTTCTTAATAGACATCTACTAGAAGATATCTATATAGATTAGCCTGGAGGTTTTCTTAATCCATGTTATCCTAACAAAATGTGTAGAGCTTGAGATCCACTTGTGGATATAAAGCAAACATCTCAATGTTGCAAACATCATTTTAATGTAAAACCACAAGGTATGTTTTATATCAAAATGAATAGAACATGTGTGTTTACTAAGAACTAGTGGGAGCATAGTGAAATTCCTAATCTTGTATGAGTGAGACATACTTAATCATTTGAAATCACATTTGGACTAAGCAAGGTCGTTTTCACCTTGACTCAGAAAGTGTTTCTAAAACGAAAGACTTAGGAAGGAGAAGATACATTCTTAGAATGTAAAATCTATAAGGGATAGATAAAATGAATGTTAAAAGTTTCATGTCCTTATACATATATTGGCAATATATTGAAAGGGATCAAGACACAAGATTCTTTTCGAGAATTCTTGGCATTGTCATATTGCACCATTTTGAGCTAGCCTCAAAACTACATAACTCATAGGTTTGAACTAGATGAACTGATTTATATTCTATTTTCTTGGCAAATGAATTCATCATTTACGCCATATTATGCATAGGACATCGTATTTGATCATGCTATAAGCATGTTATATGATACTAATTGAATACATGGTTAAGTCACTGGATGACTAAGAGAGCATTCTAAGAGTACTTTAAAAGAACTGAGAGAATGTATATGAGACAATTAGATTAGAGAGAATCTTTATGGAAAGAGCTACATAAGATGTTAATTTCTAAACAGATACAAATAATTATGAATTATAATTGGATTTTGACTTCATTATGGAACGAAGGGTAGGTCTTCTTGGAATAAGGTCCAAGCAAAACATAATGACACAATCTACTACAAAATAAGAATACACTACTTTAGAAGTTGAATTCAAATATGATTGGATGAATAGAATCATTGAAAAACTATGTTGATTTCTGTCATTCAAGGATCACATAGAAATCTTTGTGACTTCGAGAGTATACTTAATCAAGCTAAGAGACTCTATGTCACGAAAGAACACCAATCATATTCTCCAAGATATTTAACTATACTTAGAGTAAAGTTAAGTGTGGAGATGATAGTATTCACAGAATTCACACAAATTAAATTTTGACAGATCCGTTGATAAAATCATTCTTTTGAGCTAAGTATGATTGGTCACACTTTAGCTATAAGACTTTATTATTCTATAAATGGGTTTTTGATTTGGATTTAGTATTTGGATATTGGAACTGTATAACAACAACTATTAGATAATGTTATGATATATTGGGATATATTCATCACATTAATACTTGTTGTGTTCTATATTAACATGTTTAATCCATGAATAATGTTATTATTCTAAAAGTTCATAGTCGGTTATAATTGTTGGAGCAATTATAAAGTAAGACTAATATGAATTGGATTGGTTGACTCTCACTAGATGAAAGTAGGCAAGTGGTTGTAACCAAGTTTCATAGGTACTTGTCAGAGAACTAGTATTGAACTGACCCACATCAAGTTCATCTAATGGATCGCTATCATGAATGATACTTGATTAAAAGGTACTATCTTTGTATCCTTAACACCTGAGATAGATAGTGGGACTTAAGTGTAGGGAGTACTATGCATTGATATAGTCAAATGTTGTTCCTTAATTGGGCAGTTATAAAAGCCATTTTTAGGTATGGTGTGAACTATGCAAGATGCTTATGTAGTCAAGATGGGATTTTTTCCTCTTATGTGTTGAGAGTTAGACATATAAGGTGCCTTACCAAAAGTTGAACAACTAATGAGATTGATCGTAATCCGTATCTCATGTTCAACATGATGTATGTAGCAAAGGGATAACTGATAAACTTACCTTATACACCAATTGTAGCTTTGAGATTTTTAGGAATTGGTTGTTGATAGAATGGCACAAAAAGTCATATGGTCTTGGGGGTAGTGAAATGTTGCTAGACGTTCACCACTATCTATATCAGTATAATATGAGTCTTGCACAAGTGGGAGATTGAAAGGTCTAGTATGCTCAAGAGTCATATTAAAGTGATATTGCTAAATAACATATGAAACTAATGGGTCACACTAACAACAACTTGATACAATTGATTATTTATTAGAAATTGATTTTAATAAATATTAATTAAAACTCTTATAATTTAATTGGAAATTATTTATTTCATGGAAATAATAATTTTCATTAGCAAGTAACATAATATATCATATGGTATGATTTATAAGTCACGTACATTATTTTGGACTAGAAAGACTTTTGTATTTTAGCCAAAAAGAAAACTTTATAACTTATAAAAGGCTTGTGAGTTTTTTATAAAAGTTTGACTTTTCTTTTATATAAAATCCAAAACATGCTTCTAGGGAGCATGTTATGGGCTTTTGATTATTTTAAAGAAAAGTATGACATGTCTTAAAAGCATGGGGAGAAAAGTTTGCTTTTGGGGACATATGTGCTTAAAGTGTTAAGACCTAATGGTTAATACTTTCACTTTATGCATATAAATAAGAGGCTTGCATTCTTGAAATGTTGCTCATTCCTTCTTCCCTTCTTATGGTTGAGAGCTCTCTAGGAGACTCTCCATCTCTTCTTTGCTTTGAGTTATTGAAGAATACTTGCATATCTTTTGCTATCTTGAAGTTCATATTGGTTATGAACTTCAAGCTTTTGTATAGGCTAACCGAAATTCAAAACGAATGTCAATGGCTTCGAGCTCAATTTTTATAGTTTTAGAATTTTTTTTATTTCGTCCTGAATGGAAAATGCTAATCAGAATTCATATAACTCAAACACATGTGTCAATCTTTCGAGTTTATTTTTTTATTTTTAGAAATTTTGTTCGTTTTCAAGTTATATAGTTTTCCAATTAGCCTTTATATAACTTGAAACCCTATTTCGAATTTAAGTTAGTCTATCTATTAATCTTATTAAAAAAATAATTTTATACCTAATCTAATTTAATAATATTCACATTTAACGAACTCTTTTTTTTTTTTTTTTTACATTTTTTACAAAAAGTATAAACAAACAAAATGTCAAAAAAATTAATATGTATTCAAACAATACACAAAAAAACTAAAAAAAAATATTCAGAAAAACATCATAAAAATATATACAAAAAAAATGTTAAAAACATTTTTTGGTGTGTTGTTTGAATATATTGTTTAATGTTTTTATATATCTTTTTCGTTTATATTTTTATGATGTTTTTTTGAATACATTTTAATTTTTTTAATGTTTTGTTTGTTTATACATGTTGTAAAAAATATTTAAAAAAAGTTTGTTAAATGTGAATATTATTAACTTAGATTAGGTATAAATTATATTTTTAATAAGATTAATAGATAGGCTAACAAAAATACGAAAAGTGTTTTCAAGTTATTTAAAGGCTAATTGGAAAACCATATAACTCGAAAACGAGCAAAATTTCTAAAAAAAAACATTAACACATGTTTTTGCGTTATATGAATTCTAATTAGCATTTTCCATTCGGAACGAAATGTAAAAAAATTATAAAACTAAAAAAATTGAATTCGAATCCATTGACCCTCGATTTGAATTTCAGTCGGCCTATACAATAACCATATTAAAATAAATAATTATATACCTAATATGTGTTAATCATATTCTCATTTAACTAACCTTTTTATATTTTTTATATGAAAAATATTTATAAAAAGCCCTAAAAATATATAAAAAACAAAACATCAAAAAAAATATTAAAAAATATACTCGAACAAAACATCAAAAAATAAAAAACTAGATAAATTATCCAAATAAAACGTCAAAAAATTATAAACGAACAAAATATAAAAAAACATTAAAAATATATTCGAATAAAATTAAAAAAAATTATATAAATCATAAAATATATAAATAAATAAAATAAAACGTAAGCGGCAAAGTATAAAAAAAATTAAACAATTATATATATATATATATATATATATATTATATATATATATATATATATATATATATATGGGAAAATTTCATATATATCCTTGCAAACATTAAAAATTACGTCTATATCCTCCGAAGTTCATAATTACGTATATATCCTTCTTAACCTATTAAAATTACATTTATATCCAATCTTATAATTTAATGAGGTATTAATTCGTTTTAAACCAAAAAATATATTTAAAAATCAAAATAAAAGGTGATTGTACTAAATTACCCTTTCCTAATTATTAATAAATAGAACTAAATAGATTTAATTAGTATTAAACCTAATTAATATGCCAAAACCTCAAACACGTGAATTCTAAACCCCAAAACTTGAAATCTCCAGTCACGTTTTTTTCTTCTTCAAGCCGTGACATCGTTTCTTTGAATATCGCTGCTCGATTACGTGAAATCTCCACTTGTCTGCCTTCGTTTCTTCGAATATCGTTGCTACATCCATAGTAGTAAATCACATTATTTCTTCACAACAGGTTAATCTTATTCTTCCTTTGATTAATTTTGGTTTTGATTAACTTTTTGCATTCGATTAATTTTTGGTTCTGCATTCAATTATGTTTGGTTTGCAATAGACAGTTTGTTATTATCCTCCTCTTTGATGGATAATGAGATTGATGCACCAAGATGGGACATAAGTGCTCACTCGCCCGTAATTGAGTAAGTTTTTATCAATAATTGATGATACTTTATGTTTCCCTTCAGATTTATTAACTGTTTTTTTTCATTGTGGTTATCAGACAAGTAATATCGGAATTCAAGTTTAAATTGAAATATGGAGGCTTCTTTCGGTTAGCTAGGAACTCATGTAGGCAAGTGTATTGCTTTGGATCTACAAAATGTCTCTATATAGACACATTTTCATACGACTTAAATCATCTAGTTGAAGAGGTGAAAAAACACTATCCGTCACAAAGCGATATTGTTTTGTCAATAGTATTTGTTGACAAATATGCAAAAGAGCAATGCTTTATTGAACTTGATAATGATAAGAGCTTCATTGTGATGCTAAACATGTATAATGAGGATAAAGAAGTAACAATTTATGCGACAACCGAAAAATTAAGGTATAACCCTAAACCGTTAAGTTGTCAAGATAAAGTTATTGATGAGTCTGATGATGAAAATGAGACGGACTCAGTTTGTCCAAGTCAAGAAAGCTATCATAGTCTTCATAGTTTCGATAACGGATATGAGCTTCTAAATTATGGTGAAACTTATGCATATAGTAAGACGAATCCATTTATGAAAGTGAATTCTAAATTCCCAAGTGTAATTGCTTTTAGAAGAGCATTAAAACATTATGCACTAACAAATGAATTTGAGTATGTCATTGAGAAAAGTGATTTGACAAGACTTACAGCATGTTGTGGAGATAAAAAGTGCAAGTGGAGAATTCATGCTTCTCTTACACAAGATGGGGTTACTTTTGAAGTAAGTATAAAATTTGAGAAATACTAAATTCTTCGACATTGTTATTATGTTAACATAATTATATGGTTTTTTGCAATTTTATAGGTAAAGAAATTTGTATAAACTCATTCTTGTACCCGAAGCAACAAGAGTGGTAACAAACATGCCACTCAAGGATGGATTGCTGATGTTGTCACCGACAAATTGAAATCTGAAGGCGATGTCTCTACTGCCGACCTAAAAAAGTGGCTTATGCATACCTACAATGTTGAAGTACCATATATGAGAGTTTTTAGAGGAAGAGAGAAAGCTTATACCGATATGTATGGCAGGTGGGATGACTCTTATGTAAATATATATAATTTCAAACAAGAACTTGAAAAGAGAAACCCAGAAAGTGTGGTGGAGATTGATTTGCAGACAGTGGGTGAAAAGAAACATTTTCTATGCTTTTTTATATCATTAACAACATGCTCTAAGGGGTTTCTTGCTGGTTATCGTCCTTACATTGGGCTTGATGCTTGTCATTTGAAAGAGAAATTTAATGGTGTGTTAGTTGCTGCCACAAGTATCGACGGTAACAATGGTATGTTTCCAGTAGCCTATGGTGTGCTTGAGGCAGAGAATACAAAATCATGGACTTGGTTTCTCACGTCACTACAAAAAGCGATTGGTACACCAAATGGTCTTGTTATCTCCTCTGAAATGCAAAAGGGGTTGGAATTAGCTATTACACAGGTTTATCCTAATATTGAGCATCGAGAATGCATAAGACATTTATGTAGCAACTTCAAAAAAACATTTTCGAGGTGACTTTTTCATGACCAAGTTATGGGAGGCTGCAAATACCTACTCTGTTAGTAAGCATGATAGATTGTTAAATGAAATTGCTACTAAATGTGCAGATGCAATTTCATATTTGAACGAGAACCATAAAAAGATATGGAGTAGAAGTAAGTCTGGCACACTTGTTAAGTGTGATTACATTACCAACAATATTTCAGAAACTTTTAACTCTTGGGTAGGTGACATACGTTATAAACCGGTGCTTGATCTCCTTGATGCAATTAGAGAAAAGCTTATGGAACGATTTGACAAGAAAAGGAGTAAGGTGAAAAAATGGAAAGGACCATTAGTTCCAAAAGCAAAGAAGTATCTCAAAACAATCACTAAGGCAAGTTAAAGAACTATATACATACATAATTGTTTTTGCATTAAACATATATATTTTTACTGATATTAGTTTGTTCTTGTTTTATTTTCTCATGTAGAACTTGGGTGAATATCAAGTTTGTAGAAGCAGTGATAATAAAGCAGAAGTGAAGTTCAAAGGATATCGTTGGGATGTTGTATTGGATGAGAAAAAATGTAGTTGTCGAAAATGGCAAGTTACAGGCCTTCCATGTGTGCATGCAGCTGCTTTTATTGCTTTCACAAGGGATCCTAGTTGTGAAAAATATGTTGATACATATTTCACAGTCGACAAGTTTAAAGAAGCATATGCTTTAGAACTTGGTCCGATGCCCGGAAAAGATCAATGGATGAATATAGAGACAGTCGATAAGATATTCCCTCCTATTATAAAACGACCGCCTGGACGACCTAAAAAGAATAGAATTATACTACATGATGAGCCCAAGAAAAGACACAGATGTCCCCGTTGTGGTTTATATGGACACCATCAAAGGACTTGCAAAAATCCCGCGTCTCAAGGTTTTGATGAAGCATCCTCTAGCAAGAGGAAAGAACACAAAATATCATGAGTTTTTGTTATGAGTTTCATTACATTTTAGTACTTTAATGCTTTCTGCATGGATTGTTTAATTTTTAATTTTGTCGTTCGGTAGAATTTGCATGAGAATTTTTTTTTAAATTTGATTAGATATATATATATATATATATATATATATATATATATATATATATATTTATTCTGGGACCATTTTTTAATGAATTTATGGCATAGGGATTGTTTCTGTAATGTATTTCTCTAACAAGGACCATTTAGGGACTGCATCTGTAATAAATTTCTGCATATGGACCGTTTTTGTAATGTTTTTTGCCATATGGACCAATTCTGTAATGAGTTTCTACCACATGAACCAAATCTGTAATTGTTATCGGGCACAATGACCATTTTTAAATTTTTTCTGAAACGGGGACTATATCTGTAATGTTTTTTCTGAAACATGGACCATATGTGTAATGTTTTTTCGGAAACATGGACCAAATCTGTAATATTTTTGTGCACATGGACCATTTTTAAATGTTTTTTCTGACACATGGACTATATTTGTAATATTTTTCTGAAACAAGGACCATATTTGTAATGTTTTTATACACATGCACTATTTCTGTAATGTATTTCTGCGATAGGGACTATTTCTGTAATGTATTTCTGCTATAGGGACTATTTCTGTAATGTATTTTCGACTATAGGGACTGTTTATATAATGTATCTATGCAATAGGAACATATCCAATATGTTACCAAATTATCATCGGTGCATGGTAAACAATGAAATAACATCAAACTTTTATTTTTTATGAATTACTAAAATGCAATAATTATACAAAACCAGCATGATGCTGGGAAAGTTACAATACAGACAAAATAAAATTCTAAAACAATAACACTCTACTTTGACAAAACAACATCAACAACATTAAAATAACACTCTACTTATGAGACAGCTTCCTATCCTAAAGAAATAACACCCTACTAATTTTTTTGCTTTTATTTCGGGGTCGGTCTCATTAGCTCTCTTTCTACCAGAATTTCATGTAGATGAGATCTTAGTGATAACTCAGCCTCATTTTCCACCTTGTTACCAAAGCTCATTGATTTCCAATTTGCTTTCGGATATTTGATGATGTTCGCAAGACCCAAAACAATACAAGGTGTCCACCATTCCTTCGTCGAAAAATAAATTTATCCAAAACTCTTGACACTGTATAATGATTCGTTTGGTCTCACTAAACATAAGAAAAAAATATTAGTGTCTACACAAACAACCATTGTAGAAGATGATTTCAAATTGAGTATTATATACACAATTATTGTACTCGGAATAATAAACTGAACATTGGTGTGTAATATGGCTCAGTGAATAAGAAGAATTAAAATTGAAAAAACAACATGTTGCCCAGCAACACTGTTATTGAAGCTGCTTGCCTGCATCCTCTTCTGCAAATTCAGTTAGGATTTAGGATTAGTTATTGGTTCTTTTGTATCATATCAATTCTACCTTTAATATGATTATGTCACAAAAGCTCAAGTTTGATAACCATGCTAATTAAGAGATCCATATAAATTTTGAATATTGCTCTTTCTTTCTAATCACAAGTCAAACTTGAGCTTCCAGATGAAAGATCTTTAAAGTTAGGTAACAATATAGCTACAAAAGAATCATATAAAATGGAATCCCTAACATTTTCAATTAAAAAGAAAAGATTCAATTCCTGAAATAACCAATGATAAATTGATAATGGATGATCTGTTGAATTCTGTAACACCCATAAAATTCAAGCCAATTTAAAACTTTCTCAAAACATTTAAACCAGTAGTTATTACAAATTTGTTTTCAAAATAGTCTAATATCAGAGTCTTCCCAGAAACACAAATAAAACATGAGGAGCTGTACGATCACGCCTTCGCCTTGCCGCGATCCCCTGATGTACCTGAAACAATAAACTGAAACTGTAAGCCCGAAAGCTTAGTAAGTTCCCCCAAAATACCCATACCCACGACAATACACATATAAACATAAACAACATACTATGGGTCCAGTCAACCATCGGGTTGGATTACCCCAGGCCCTCAACCATCAGGTTGGAATGCCAACATACTATGGGTCCAATCATCCTTCGGATGGAATACGCTAGGCCCACAACCAACAGGTTGGAATGACCACATACTATGAGTCCGATCATTCTCTGGATGGAATACTCACGACCCACAACCAACAAGTTGGAATGCCCAGGTCTATTGGCTTTTGCACAAAGTAGATAAGCCTCAACCACCAAACAAACATGTGCACATATAACTATTAATCACATAACAGTCTATAGACAATAACTGATCTAACAGATCATACCACATAGCACATAATACCATCCTATCTATCAGGATACCAATCTAACAGATCATACTAGCATATCACATAATACCATCCTATAACCAGGACACTGACCTAACCAGGTCGCTAAGCATAAACATAACCTCATCCTAACTACCAGGATGCAAACCAATAAACATATCATGCCATAACCAGATACAATCCATAAAGGGCCGGCCTTAGTGCCTTAGACCCTGTTGATATAGTGAGGATAACTCACCTCGTGAGTAGTGCTGAAGTACTCTAAATCTCTGGTTGCTGTCTCGCCGGGAATCCCAAACTAATACACAAAAATACTAAGTTAATACCCAAATAACCTTCTTGACTACAAGTCCACACCATTCATTAAGTCCATTCTCTTTATTGGATCAAGGCCCAAATACCTAGTCCTTGACTTGAAAATCCACATATAAAACCCATTATCGGCCCAATTTACTAAATTGGGCCCAACTCCCTAATTGGGCCTAACCCCATGATCCACTATCACTATTAGGCCCAAAACATCCTCTTTACAAAGTCCAGCGAAGGCCCAAACCCATTTAGCCCATAAACAACCCAAAATCCGAAGTCCATTTGTCAAAGGCCCAACAGAGGGCGTACGCGGGGCGTACTCCTCTGGTACGCGGGGCGTACTCGTTCAGTCGTTGACCACTATCGGGGTGGCTGACCCAGTACGCTGGGCGTACTCTACAGTTTGCCAAAACCTTATTAAGTGCTTAATGGCTTAAGCACTTAAGCCCAAACCCCATATCCAGAGACCTAACATGCCTAGGATCCATAAAGTCACGAACTTTATCACTTTGGACGTCCATAAAGTTCTTAATGCTTGGTCTTAATCCATTAAGACCTTATTTCTCTTTACATGGGACACATACAACTAATGGAACCTTATTTTTATCACTCAAGGTCCCTTCAAGAGTCTGGAAGGACAACTCTTTTAGTCCAAATCACAACATGCACCCCCTTATGGCTTTTGGGACAAGAAATGCTTCTAATAAAGTAAAATGATGAGATCTATGCATATATGCATAAAGTTTGGAACTTTATACCTTCTGGAGCTTCTTGAGCACAAGCTAACTTCAGATCTACAAGCTTGATATTCTTCTCCAACACTTTGATGCAATACCTTCCTCTTGAAGCACTCAAGAACACACCAAATAAGCTTAAACACACTAAGGAAGAGCTAGGGTTTGGGGAGGACGAATAGAGGCTGTGGAGGCTGAGGTAAGGGGGTTCTGGTGCTCATAATGTTGTTTATATAGGCTCCAAACCCTAAATATTAGGGTTTCACCCAGACATTAGTACGCCCAGTGTACACAAGTGTACACTCAGCGTACTAAGGCGGACCTTAATACGCTTAGCGTATTCTTATGTACGCGCAACGTACTCCTTTTTGGCCCAAGTTTGCAAACTTGGTCCTTAAACTTATCTTGGCTCTTCACTTCCAACCCCAAGGACCATAAACAACAAGGTAATGATAGGAGAGGGTTCAGGAATACCAACCAACTCTCGGGATGTTACAAATTCCCTTTTTTCATGGAAGGAAGAAATAAAATAAAAAAAGCAATTAAATGCAGTAATTAGAATCCTAGCAAACAATTGAAAGCATACATTGTAAAACCCTAAATAAAAGCATCAGATCTAATAAGCCAACCTTCGTTCTGATCATTCTCAGTGAACTCTTTATCCATAACACGGTCGATCATACCAGCAAAGCTCTTGTCTCTATTCTCAGTGAACTCTTCAACCTGCTCCTGATCTGTGTCGGCGAGGACAGGGAGGGGGTGAGAAAGAGAGAATGACAGGATTAATGAGATAAAAGATAGGAAGTAGAGACATCGAAGGTGGGTGGAGGAGGTGGGTATCCCCCTTTTCATGGCAGGGACGACGACGGAGGAGGTGAGGCTGTGAGGGAGACCGGAAGATGGAAGGAGGGACAGATGAACTCGGTTTTTGGGGTAGGAGAAAGGTGGATCTGGATGGATTGAGGGAATCGGTTTCGACTGATTTATGATATAGAAAAAAGAACAAGATTTAATTTGGATATAATATGTAAAGGGTATTTTGGTAAATTTATTTGTATTTATGATTTTTAAATATATTTTTTGATATTAAATTTATTAATATTTCATTAAATTATAGGATTGGATATATAGGAGAGTTTAATATGTTAAGAAGGATATATGCGTAATTATGAATTTTGGAAGGATATAGACGTAATTCTTAATGTTTGCAAGGATATATATGAAATTTTCCATATATATATATATATATATAAAAGTAAGGGTAAAATTGTCTTTTTAAGTGGATTAAGGATGTATAGTGCAATTTCTTTAAACCATAAGGATGTATCTTGTCAAATTTATAAAAGTTGGACTGAATGTGCGAATTTGAGCAAACCACAGGGACCAAAACTATAATTTACTCTTTTAAGTAATTAAACCACCAAGTGTTTAATATTTAAAACTCAAAAAGAGCGCTTTTTCCTCAAAATATATAGGCAATAATTAAGTGTACGATTTATGTCGATAGCACAGTATCTTAGACAAGTATTTAGACAAATAGTTAGGGATGAGCATATAGACCGGGGAACCGGCCGGAACCGGTACCGGAACCGGCACCGGCACCGGAACCGGAACCGGAACCCGATGGAACCGGTCGGGCCGGGACCGGGACGTTATTTTTGTGGATTTTTGGAACCGGGAACCGGTAGGAACCGGAACCGGTAGAACCGGCAAAAACCGGAACCGTATGATGCTATTTTTCTAGGACCGGTTCCAACATTTGAAGACACGACAAGAACCGGTAGGAACCGGTAGAACCGCCGGGTCGGTTCGGTTCTTGATTTTGGCCGAAGCCGGTTCCCAGGTCGGTTATATTTTTTTCTTTCAAGTTCAACCCATATTTTTCAACACTTCTATAGTTTAGTCCTCTATCATAACGTTGGCATAATAAAACAATATTATTCACTAAGAGCGATAGCGTTAGATGAATATCTGAAAAGTGGACACAAAATTTTTCTTAAAGACATAATTAAATCGTGAGAAATTATATGTCCTTCTATTTTTTCTTCGTATTTATCTTTCTATTAATGTGAAATGTAACAAATGTTATATTTTAATAAACTTAATAACATTTTAAAACATTTGTCATTATTTTACATGAATAAAAATACAAATAAAATAATATTTAATTTGTCTTAAATCATCATAAAACCAAGTAAAAAGAAAGATATTTCATACTGAGGAATAACTTCATGCAAATAAAATTAAAAAGGCGGTTTCCTTCACTAATGGTTCTATTGTTTGTTTCACTAATGGTTTTATTAAGGCTATCTTTGACGTACTAGCTGAAAAGCTAGCTGATAGCTGAAAAGCTAGCTGTTAAATAAAAAGCTAGCTGATAGCTGAAAAGCTAGCTGATAAAAAATAACATTTGGTAAAACTAGTTGAAAAGCTAGCTGAAATATGTAAAATTACATAAAAGGACATGTAAGAGTATGTGTTTCTATAATTAATTAACGGGTGTATTTGGAACATTTTAAAAAAGCTCCTAAAAAACTAGTCTAAGTAGCTTTTCAAAAAGCTAGCTTATAGGCCACTCTTTGGCTTACCAAACACGACAATATAAAAAAACTCGAAAAATAAGCTAGCTTATCAGCTAGTTGTGGCGCGCGAAACACAGCCTAAAAGGCAACTTCTAAATTGGTAAGGTTCAAAGCATTTTGTTTGTTTTATTTTCTGTAAACCAACCTTAAAAAGATTGCATTTAAAACAATAATTTACTAATTTAATCTAGATAAATGTTATTTAAAGTATTACTAGTTTATTAATTGATTTTATATTTTGATTTTGACTTGGAACTTAACTCAATCGGTACTCAAAATTTGAAACTTTCTTTGGAGAAATTCAAAAGGAATAAAGGATTATATAATATCATTTTATCGACTTCAAAATTTGAAACTTTCTTTAGGAGAAATTAAATGTGTGTATAGCAAAGTAGCATGCAAACCATAGTCGATCCCAATGGAGAAAGAATCTAGTAGAAGTCTGGATATCTCATCTAGTATCTAGTAGATTAAATCGGCATATAATCAACTAAACCTAACCATGATAAAATACTTACGGTAAACCGTATTATTTGAGTGGCCTCCTGCCACTAGTTTTATATAAGAGGTTAGTCGGGATTAATCATATAACACTATTAATATTTTGGCGATGTCAGTATTTAAATTATGAATCTTCATAATGAATTTTATATCTCAACCACTAGACTTACATCATGGGAAAAACCTAACCGTAGTGGTATGCCAAGTTGTCATACAATGGATTTGAATGCTCGATGAACTATTGAATTGGAAGATGATTAAAACAATGTAATATACATTTAAAAAATATAATTCCTTGAATTTTATAGAGTTCAATGAACTGAAGAAATTAAATTTAAATATTGTATTATAATTAAAATGTTAATATGAAAATTTATTAAACTTTATACAGTTAAATACTACCCTCGCAATACATGACAAAGCGGGATAGAATCCCAGATTGACATACAATGAATAATGATATGTCAAAGTGACATATAATGTATTTGAAGTTGAATACCCATTAAAATGTTGGATGGAAAAAATAAGGGGCACTTAATAATTTTATGTAAATGGTTGTCCGAAACAATTCCAATAATAACAATTTGCGACAGATGAATAGTAACTTTATTGATTTATTAATAATTCCGAATAATCTTTATAAGTTGTCTCTCGTGGTTTTAGAAGGAATATATGTTCGCCTCAATCGATAAGCCGCTTGTTTTATATGAAAATAGGACCGTAAACGAACCAAACATTCGGCGATAAGTTTGTGTTCATGTATTTAATAAATGAACGAACATGAATATAAATTCTCACTCTTTTAGTTAAACAACCGAACATTCACAATGATCTTATTTGTTCATTTATGTTCGTGAATGTTTTTTTAGCACGACAATATTAAAAAGTACTAAGAAGCTAGAACATTACAAATAATAAATAGCTATACTAGGATTTTGTAGAACATTTTATAATTTATGTTGTTTGTTTAATTTCGTATATGTTAGTTTGTTAAAGTTTATTTATGTACAAGGTAATTTGTTAAATGAATGAACATTAACAAGAAAACTCGTTTATTTATCCGTTTGTGTTCGTCTGTTTGTTTGGCTAACTTAAACAAACGAACAAACTCTTATTTGTGTTCATTCTGATCATTTAGGTGCTGTTTGTTTTTTTATAAAAACCTCTTCAAATCATTTATTGCTGCGCGGCGCAGCACACGCGCAACACTTTCCCTCTCGCAGCAGTTTGTTTTTTGGAAGACTTCAGACTACAAAACCTCTGTGCGTGTGCTGCGTGGCGCAGCACTTGACTTGCCTCTTCTAACCTCTTCAGCTTTCATTTTTTCCAAGTGTTTTTTTAAGAATTTTTGTATAACTTATTTTTTTTAACTTATTTTTTTTAAACTTTGATTTTCTTAAATTTTTATTTACGGATGTGATACAATTTATTTTTATAGTTTCCACGATTTTTTTTAATTTGATTTTTTTTACCATTTCTATTAATAATATTTTCAGTTTCAGTTGCATATTTTTTAACATGTGTAATTTTTTACGAACTTTGTAGATATCGTTTGCAATAATTTCTTAATTTTTTTTATTTTCTTGTTTAATGTTTTTTAAAATTAATTTTTTTTTCTAGAATAAAACTATTAGCTTCTTTTACATTTTTTTAAGTTTTTTGAATAAAAAAAGTTTTATATTTTTGTTTTTTTACATGTTCCTTTTATTATTATTTCAATGTTTTAAGACTAGAATTATTAAATTTCGGTGTTGAGACTATTTTCAGTTTATAAAATTAGTTTATTTAAATTTCAGTTTACTACAGCAGTCTGCAGATGTTAAAAAACAAACATGCTTCTTATTATAGGCTGCAGCCGTTTGTTCCACCTCTTCTGCTACAGAGGATTGCAGAGGTGGTCCGCAGACTTCATGAATTTTCGTTTCGAAAAAACAAACAACACCTTAGGGTCCTATATGCAAGAGCTTACGCGTCGAAATCTCACCTACCCTTTTATTAGTACACTAGTCACAAAGCCGGATCCTAATGACTCGCCTACATGCCGGACCCAGAAGCAAGTTTGCCATACCTAAACGAACCGTTAATGTTTAATTTAATCAAATTCGATCCAATCTTTTCTACAAATTGTCTCCATTTTTTAAATCCACCCCTTTTAACATTTCCCATTTTGCAATATTGGCCTAAATTTTAATATTCTTTTATGAATTTGTTCCGAATCATTTTAACCAACTTTCCCCGCCTTTTTATTTTCAACTTTGTTTTAGATGTTTTTCGAGACTTAGTTTTTCTAAGATTTATTTTTAATAGTTTTCTTTCCCCATTTTTTACAACTTTCTTTTTACTATTTCATTTTTAAAAAAATTGTTACTTTTTTTTTTTATAAAATTACATTTTTACATATTTTTTCCGTTTTTACAAATTATTTTTTTTGTAAATATTTGTTTTCATGCATGTAAATTGTAAGAACATATAAAAAATCGTTTTTTCATATTTATTACACATTGCTAGAGATGTACTCTTATGTATAATTAAACATAATCATACTTGTAACTATATTTTATATATTGCACATACACAAATTTTAAAGAGCTCCGTGTGAGAAGCTACATCTAGTTCAATAACAAATTTACATGAAAATTAAATGCTATGTAGCAATCCATTATATGGATGCCCTTATACTTGATTCATTAACCGATTTAAAAGTAAAACTTTCCTTTTTGCAACTAAGTATTTACAAATGGGTTACCTTTCTAGTGACCAACTTTGTTTTTCACATCTCACCGATAAGCCCTTGAGACAGATTCTCCATTAAAAACAATCCCATGAGAAAAAGTCAAACAATCTAGATATTTTACAAAGAATTGCAGTTTCTTTGACCAAATCCACTCGGAATCATGTACATAGTTATTTACCTGTAAACAATGTTATATTTGATTATTTATGATATCAAAGTTTGTAGGTGCTTTGGTGGTGGGTCGGCAAAACTATTCCCACTATCATGCTATAAAAGCAATCAAGACCAGACTCATATAACAACCACCTGAAAATGGCTTCTCAAATTCTCTTTCTAGGGCTTATCATGCTAACTTGTTCTATTGCATTTGCATCCGACAGCAGCCCTCTTCAAGATTTTTGTGTTGCAGACTACAATGGCCCAGGTTAGTAATATTACAATTCCTTTTAATTTGTAGCAAACAAAAGGTTAGAAAGCAAAGATTAGAAAGCTTGCAAAGATTTTCAACTTAAAGTTTAAAAAAAGGAAAAAGGCAAGAATTAGCAATGAACTTCACTCATTTATGTCGTTGTAACATCGTACTTTCATTATTTTTGAGTAGGTTACAGATGTGATCCCTGTGATTTACTGAAAACCCTATATATGGTCCAAAATTTTAAAATCTTCTTGATGTTTGCTTTCGTTGTGAAGATTGCAATCTTGATTAAAGAACGTGGACTAAATCCGTAACGAATTGAAAATGGGACCAAACTTGTGATTTTGAGTAAAGTACAGGGACCAAGTTTGTAACTTACTCTTTATATTTATTACCTTATTTCACTTTCAATTGTTTTCTTGTAAAGGCATTATAATCTACAAAATCTACCGAATTATAACTTTGTATTTTCAGTTAATTTCATATTACAGTAGTGAAAATTGTGTTGTATTTGAGAGATATTGCAAAAATTGGTTAGATTCTTATCATACTATGCTGTAAATGTGTGATGGGATCAATAGAAGTAAGATGTTATAATAATAAAATAAATGAAGGTAAATTGTTATTTCTTGCATTTAACCCATTTAATAAATTTATATCATTTATAGTGCTAGTGAATGGTTTCGCTTGCAAAGATCCGAAGCTTGTACAAGCGAACGATTTCTTCTTTAGTGGACTACACTTAATGGGAAACACCTCAAATTCCATGGGATCTAAAGGGACTCTAGTGACTGTTGCCCAACTACCAGGTCTCAACACTCTTGGCATCTCAATGGCTCGTATAGACTTTGCTCCATGGGGTATTAATCCCCCTCACACGCATCCTCGGGCCACTGAAATCTTGACTATTCTTGAAGGCACCATTCAAGTTGGGTTCATCACATCCAGCCCTGAAAATCGTCTAATCACCAAAGTACTTGAGAAGGGTGATGTTTTTGTTTTCCCACAAGGTCTTGTTCACTTTCAGAGGAATGTCGGAAATGGCAATGCTATTGGGATTGCAGGTCTAAGTAGCCAAAACCCGGGTGTTAATACATTTGGAAATGCTCTGTTTGGAGCAAAACCTGATATCCCAGATGATCTTTTGGCAAAGGCTTTTCAGGTGGACGTGAACATCATTGATCAAATTCAGTCGAAATTCTAGGCTCTATCTAGATCTTTCAGCACCATGTTGAGGAGAATCGTATTAATCCAAAATTGTTTGTGTTAGAATTTAGAAAGCTAACTAAGATTTCATTCATATTAAATTTTTATTTTAAATATTAAATATTAAAAATTCAAATTCTTATTTTTGTTGTATTGTTTGCTTCCTTTCCTTTCAAAATTCATTAAAGGGAGAAGAAATTGATTGTTTCTAATCGTAGGCATTGCCCAGTTTCCTTATTGAATGTAAAAGTTGTATGCATGTCTTTTTCATGATTTCTTTTCACAAATATGAGTAGGCTGCTGCATAGTGATAGTTGTCACTACTACTATATGGATGGATTATATTGTTGTATTTCTGTAAGCCCATTATATTTTGGATTAGTGTTAGCCCATTTGTAACCTATATATATATATATATATATATATATATATATATATATATATATATATATATTCCAAATTAACGAGATGAGATATTCATGGGAAAATACATTGCATACATGGTATCATAACTATCATAATTCTTCTCCAATTTCTTCTCCCTAACTCTAATCGTTGGTCTGTCTCTCCTCGTCGGTTGCTTATATCATCTCGTCTCTTCTTCTCTCTTTGTCTGGTATAGTGGTTCAAGGAGATGCTTCAACAAAACCAACACCAATTACGGAGAAACCTTACGGAATTGCTAATAATAGTTCAGTCATTCAAAAAAAAAAAAACATAAAACATGACTTTTCAAGAAAGTTTCATGCTTTTCACACATTTTTAAATAATTAAACCACCAAAGATTTAAATTTCAAAACTCAAAAAGTGCTATTTTTTCCTCAAGATCTTTAGGCAATAATTAAGTGTACGATTTAAGGTAAATTTCAACATGTGACATTTTTGCAAAATTTGCCAAAATTTTTTGTTTTTTTCAAAGGCCCTTTAACTTTATTACTCTTTAAGGTTATACTATTTTTTTTCTTTCAAGTTTCAACCCATTGGTTTCTAACACTTGTCTAGTCCTCTATCAAAACGTTGGCATAATAAAACAAATATTATTCACTAAGAGCGATAGCATTAGACTGAAAAGTGGACAACAAAATTTCTCAAAAAGATAATTAAATCATCCTACAACCAAGTAAAAAGAAAATATTGTACTATTTGTAAGAAAAGATGTTTCACATCTTAACAACGAGCAATAGCCTCATGCAGATAACATTAAAAAGTGTTAAATGTTTATTTGTTTTGTTCTTTATATATACCGAGCATTCTCAGATTTCCGCCCACTGCCTAAGCATGCGCTGCCGGACAGCACCTTCGGTGTTCCTCCCTTGCCACAACAGCCCGGCTTCGGCCACCCACTGCCTCCACCCTCGGGGTGGTTCCAGCCGCCTTTCCTGGCACAACATGGCCCTAATCAACAGCTCTATGCTCCACCACATCCGCAAACATCTTTTGGAGGTCATGCTTCGCAATATCGACAACATCAATTCACGGATCTTGCCTCGTTACAAGCTATGTCGATCCAACCTCCACAAGACAATAACTTTTACATGGACTCCGGAGGAAGCTTGCATATGACATTCAATCAAGGTATAATACACTCTCTAACTCCTAGTAATTTGAATTTCATTATGGTTGATAATGTTGTTGTTGTTCCTTCTAAATTCATTGGTCAAACTGTTTTTCCTTTTTTTGAAAAATGTTCTTGTGTCTGACAAGATTATAAAAAATCTAATTTCTATCGTCGTTTTACCCTTGATAACTCTGTTTTTGTTGAATTTGATCCATTTGGATTCTATGTGAGGAATCTTAAAATAGGTGTTACTCTTCATCGTTGCGATAGTGATCTTCATGATCTTTACCTTGTCCTCTCTACACCTATTCGGTCATCTATTGTTTCTGCTCAAATTGTCGTTTCCTTTGACATATGGCACTGTAGTCTTGGCCATCCGGGTCCTTCAGTTTTTCAATTTCATAAGACTCATAATTGTATCTCTTCTAGTAAGAATTCTTCATTATGTCACGCTTTTCAAGTAGGAAAACATTGTCGATTACCTTTTTCCTTGTCTGTGCTAAAACCTCTTGAGTGTTTGAACTTATACACTCTGATCTCTGGATTTCTTTGGTTTATAGTTTTAGTGGCTTTAAAGTTTATGTTTTTTTTATGGATGATTTTCCTCACTTCCTATGGGTGTTTCCCTTACATGTAAAAACTGAGATTTTTCAGCTTTAAAAAAAATTTGTACGTATGTGTTAAATCAATTCAAAACCGACATACAACTATTTAAGTGTGAAAGCCGTCGTAAATTTAACAGTCAACATCTTCTTGATTGTTTTTCAAAATTCATGGCATTCAAATTTGATTCTCATGTCCTTAGAGATCTCAACAAATGCAAAGGTTGAACGTACCATTCGCTCCATCAATAACATATTACACACTTTCTTCAAGCTTCTCTCCCACTCATCTTCGTGCCTTTGGTTGTTTTTGTTACTGTAATGCTCCGTTTCCACTTAATGATTTCAAAATAGGGTTAATAAGTAATAATGAATATTTATATAATTAAAGATTAAATTTTGTAGGCTTGGAAAGTGAATTGAATAAATGAAAGACATTATATATATGTATGGAAAAGGGATAAATAATAATAATAGTTATATTGATGATCTAGTTAAATAAATCAATCATTTTGAATAAATGAAATATATATATATGTAGGTCTAGGGTGTAATTTGCAATTTTCAGAAACTATTTTAATTAGATAAATTGATTTAGGGGTAGATTTGGTTCTTATGCCAAATTGTAGGGACCAGTTATGACAATTTGTGAAATTTGTTGTCTTCTTCCTGGTCGTCGCAGGTTGTCTTCTTTCCCTGTTTTGGCTATTGCAAAAATCGAATAAGCAAAAGATAATGTTCCAAATCGTAGATAGCCTTCCTTTTTTACTTTTATATCGTACCCTTCATTTTTTTTTTTGTTGATAAATCCTGAGAACGGTAGAGTTTTCTCCCTAGGCTTCCATATCTAGAGTTTTGAAGGTTTTCTTTTGAAGCTCGAGCCAAGTTGTCAAGGAAGGTAAATTTTCTCTCCATTCCATCCCTAATGGTCATAAGAGCCTGCGTCGGCTCTGTAGAGGCCGGAGCAAACTCCGACAGCTCCTTACCCACCAGAAGAAAAAAATAATAGGTTTTAGCGAGGTTTCTATTTTGGAATTCCTTGCTGCCAAATTTAGAGAGTCCCAACCCTTTTAAACCTTCTCTAATGGTGTCTTATGGGTGGATCGAATCGTGGAGCTTTTGGTCAACATGGTTGATGTATGAGATGACTTTGTATGCGAGGAAGTCAGGTAAGATCTAGAAGTCTTTGAACCTAGGATTAAGGAATTAGTTCCTCCCGATGTTCGTTAGTTAGGTTGTGTATGGTACTCATTCATCGTCAGCTCGTGTGCTTCTCGCTAAGGACTGAGACGACATTTGTGCCTGAAGGTGATCGCGTGCTTTAGAAGTTAGTGGAAGTTTTTTTTTTGAATCATGAAGGTTATAAATAAGAAGTTGGTGGGTGAAGTAGTTTGCAGGTTGTCTTCTTTCCCTGTTTTGGTTAATGCAAAAATCGAATAAGCAAAAGATAATGTTCCCGATTCCTTAGACAGACTTCCCTTTTGACTTTTAAATCGTGCCCTTCATTTTTTTTGTTGACAAATCCCGAGAACGGTAGAGTTTTCTCACTAGGCTTCCATAGCTAGGGTTTTGAAGGTTTTCTTCTGAAAAGCTTGAACCAAGTTGTAAAGGCAGGTGGATTTTCTCTCCATTTCGTCCCTAATGTTCATAAGAGCCAGTGTCGGCTCTGTAGAGGCCGGAGCAACCTCCGACAGCTCCTTACCCACTAGAAAAAAACAGTTTTTAGCGAGGTTTCTATTTTGGAATTCCTTGCTGGCAATTTTAGAGTTTCCCAACCCTTTTAACCTTCTCTAATGGGGTCTTATGGGTCTCTTATCGTTCATGAGCTTGAGTGCTCAACTAGAACCTTAGGCTAAGGGGTATGGTTACCCCGATACCCACTAGAAAAGTGTTGTCACGTCAGTTCCACGTCAAGAAAAGTGTTGTCACATCAGTTCCACGTCAGCTCCACTACATGTTCACTACTAGCCTAGCTACTACCCCTTGGAAATGGTTACACTCATATTATTTACTTTTTATTTTTTTATTTTTTGACATTATATTAAATAAAAAAACATAGTTATTAAACATAAATAAATATTTTAGTAATAAAAAAGTACAATAAGTTAAATAAAAAAACATAATCTTAAAATTCAATAAAATATTTAAATAAATATTTAAAGGTATATTAGAAATTAAAAAAATATAATTGAAATATATAAGTTAAGGGTCTTATCTGTAATTTCTAAAAATCATTTAAGTATAAAAAATTTGACTTAGGGTGGGATTTGTAATCAACCAAGACTCCAGGGACCAAAGTTGCCAAGCCTTCATTTTACTATCTTCTTCCTCACCTGTACATTGTCATTTTCTTCGTTTCTTCGTCCTGCTCTTTTTCTCCATTTTCTTCACTCTTTAAAAAAGAGTGACTTTTTCTTTATAAATCCACGAACGTTGACACAGAAAAAAGAAATGGTCAAACAAGGCATTAACCAATCACCTTTCCCGTCTTTGCTCGTAGCCGGAACCACGCCACAAGGCACCTACGCACACCTGGGGCGGTGTTCACGCGTAGGTGGCCTTGCCACGTAGGCACTACGCGTAGCCAAGTCCAATCCATACCGCAAAGCCTTATGAACACCTCGAAAACGATGGAATCTTCACATTAACCTTTTTAGCGGGATTTCTATTGCGTGGGTCGTCTTCAACACATTTTCGGAGTTTCAAGCCCCCGATTCTTGTCAAACACTTGCTATAATCTGATGGGTTTTCTAGGTTATAAATAAAAATTACATGTGGCAGAAAAACACTTAAACCCTTAAGTTCACATACAACTTAGAAATGATCTACGTTTTCAATGTAGTTGTTATAAGATCGAGTATGAAAACAAAAATCAGAGTAATGAATGAATAAAGAACAC